CTTTTGGCGGGAGTGCAACGCCGGCGTGTAAGGTTTGCAGCCTTTGGATCCCACGGGTGGGATTCGTTCCAGCTGTACTCGATAACACACTGGCCCTAACGACTATAGTTCGGAGTGTGATTTGAGTTATGCCTGTATGTGTACGTTAGCTTGCACAATCACGTCTGCACGCGTATGCCTCCCCGGGGAAGCATGCAAACCACGAATGCTAATGACCTCTCCTTTTTGCTTCCGAATCAACCCCTTCTCCTGGCGGGACTTCGGGAGATCATTTGGGAGGCCTAAAGCTCCTCTTCAGCTCCTTTTCGCCAGAGAAAGCGAAATTCAGAAAGGGAAGAGGGGATAAACAAGATCCGAAAAGGAGCACTTCAGGCCCTTGAGCGATCCTATTACCATCTATACTGGCCTAGGTCCCGACGGTGCGTCAGAGCAAATATTTTGAACGAGAAAGACGAAGAAGGGGGATAATGAAGCGTACATGAATCAGCTGCTGGAAACCAGTAGCATCTAGCAGTTTCACCGGCGCCAAAGGGCCTGTGCTTGCCAATTTGATTCCGTCTTGGAGCAGTGATAACACCATCAGGGTGCGACTATACACAAGGCAGCAGAGACTGCAAGCGCACCGAGAGAGCAGAGACAGAATATTCGCAGACACGGTGGTAGGTCCCAACTATGCCCGATCCGGTCGGAGGCAGTTCAGGCCTCAGGCCTCAGGAACGACACTCTAGCGATATTTCGGCTCGCTTTCTCGTCCGAGGTTTGATGGCACACATACGCACTTCCCTTTCGGAAAAAAACGTTGCCACCGGTCTCGGTGTAGGCTGTAACATGCAGAACGCGGTATAAGTGCGGACGCACCATGATTTGGCGAGTGTTCAAGCTCTCCTCTACATGGGTTTGAGGGGAGCTTGCAATGTTCCGGGCGAGCCGCGTTCAGGGGCTCCGCGACCGAAGGTACCTCTAGATCTCCATCGCGGTGATTCGTCTCCGTTGCGCCGTATGATGTCAGGATTGCTGACCGCTCCTCCTGAGGATAAGACGGCGATGCGTCTCCTTATATGGCAAGCGCCCAGAATGAGGCATTTTGGCGGATCCCCCGAGCCGAACAACCGAGCCTCTCGTACGCTACATACGGTGTCCAAGTTAGGATGACTGAAAATAATCAAAGTCGAAAGGAAATAAAGAGAAAGAGTTAAAGAGAAGAGAAGACAGAAGAAAGGTTTACACAAAATGCTTATGCTCCTTCGAGAGCTTACGTCTAGTGCCTCAAGCCCGCTGCCACGTTAAGTAATGGATATGTAATATATTATCCCGAGCCATAGATATGTGGTCGTCGGTATCAGGCTACCCAGTCCTTGGCCAAAACAACGCGAGGATAGTGTATGAACTCAATCTCGGGCGCATAAATAAACAAAAAGTCCGCTCTTTACATGGTGCACTGATCACGGAGGACTTGCGGGATATCGAACAGCGCCGCCTGAGACGGCAGGCTATTGATCTGCATGAGCAAACCAGCTGCCATGTGCAGCGCAATGTCTGCATGTTCTGGTCAGTATTCGTGACAAAGAATGTTTAAATGATGACATACGGCAGTGGAACGCCCAGACTCCAGCTGAAAACGCATACATGAGCTGTTGTGCCTCTCATAGATAGGCACGACTTACGGTTGTCGTTCAAGAAGCGTATCTTGGTCCAACCTGCATTGGGGACGAGAGAAATGTCTCGGCTGTGTTGAAAAATCTTGTCAGTATCGGACGAGGACCACATTTGTAAAGGGCTCACTATATGGGGTTATTCGTGTTGAGCACAGCGTCGTCAGTATAATTGCCCGTGCCTGTGCCTAGGCTAGGGTTGCCGATATTAGCAGCACAAGTCGAACCATGGCAGACAGACTCACATGGACGCAGTATAACCGTGTAGGTGCAACGGGTGGTCACCCATGCCGGTATTCACCTGTGCAAGAATATCACATCACCATGCTTGTACACCTAGTAAGGCGACCCACCAGCAAAATGTCAACGACCTCCTGGGAGTCGATGGTGATAATAAACTGGTTGCCTTGCTGGACGCTGGGGCCGTCCGGAGCATAGGATGAACCATTGAGGACGGCATCTACGACCTGAAGCAAGGTCGCCGTGCCCTCAAGCGGCTGCCATGGCTGCCTTGCACGTTAGAGTCTTAGAGCTGGAGAATCGAAAGATTCCGCGCGTACCGTGTTGTTAAAGCTTGCAGTCACTCCTCCGGTGGCCGTGAGGCCGATCATGAAGTCAAGCGTGTAAGTCCTGGAGAAGCGATGATTAGCAAACAGGAATGCTGCGCAAGTCGTGCGACGTACAGCGTAGCGTCTGGTAGCGTTCTGGGAATAGCGGGAACAAGATCTGTGACGTTCAGAGCGGAAAGATTCGAGTTCGGCACGCCAGGGTTGGACGAGGTCGTCGGGGTGTCGACGCTGTTGCTGTACCTTATAATCGCACGAAGGTCCGTGCTGTAGCCTGGAGTCGGCAGAGGATCCGTCAACTCGGAACGAATCCAGTAGTTTCCACCAGGTTCTTCAGTCTGGTTCGTAGTGATGAGTACCGAGCAGCGTTGCGCAGTAAAGATCGTGAAATTGGAGACATCGTAAGGTTCGGTGAACGTCTTATCTATCTCGATGACAGTCATCGGATGAAAGTCCAGGGAGACGGTGACTGGGACGTCTGAGTCGACGTTTATGAAGCGAAAACGGTATCTGTGAAACGCTTCAATATAAACAGAATCATCACAAGAGCGGTGCGCTTTACGTCTTGTTAGGCTGTAGGTTGAACTACAGAGTATATGGTTAGGTTGGACACGAATAGAAATGAGGCGACGCAGGCACTCACGTCATAGAAGTTGGTCATCTGGGTGCCAGCAAATTGTCCAATACCATTGATCATCTAGTAGTACATATTAAGTTTAAAACGAAATATGCACAGAAGGATGAGTGATAGCTTACGCCGCTCTGAGGGGACTCGAGTGCAAGTCCCGTCAAGTTGCCCACACCCTAGACCAGATAAGTTATACCAGCGAAGACAGGCACGGTACACCACATACTGTAAGCCACGGTCGAAGCATGGTCGAGGAGAGTTGGTGATATAGATCGGATACCAAGACAATGAAGTCTCCGTCATAGGGAGGAATGCTGGAAGGGATGAACGAAGGATGAACGATGAGCGCGCCTACTACGCCGTCGGAATATATCATGTCCTCTGAATTAAATAGTTGGTCAGGGCCATCATAGACAGTCTATGAAGCACTCACTGTCTGCCAGCAGGTATCAATGGTGACGTATCATCAGTTCAATGAATAAAGATCATTAGCTCAGAGACGCACGAGCGCTGACAGGTACTGTGTGAGCTAACAATCTGTTGTAATGATAAAGTAGTATACTTACTGCCACCAAGTCGTGCCTGCTGGATTGCCACTAGCCGAGAAGCTAAGCAAACGCCTCGCGCATTAGAGACTGCAATGCAACAGCGATTGAGTATTTTACTTGTAGGTAAATTGTTCGCCAGGCGGTATGCCACACTGCGTGATTCCTGCCGGGCCATCATAGAAGTTGGTACCGTTCTGTGTCTGAAAATGGCGTATTTATGAGCTACAGAGCTAGTGATGGCAGCCCAAGTGACGTACCATGCCGTGCCAGTGAAACGTTCTGCGGAGGTCGCACACGTCAATGAAAGTCAGCGACCGAGTAGAAGCAGGAGTTGCTCACACTGATTGAGCTATCAGGTTGGTGACCTTCACGATGATCTGATCGTGCTCGTTAGCCTCGATGGTCGGGCCAGGGTACATGCCTAGTATCGTTTCAGTAATGACTTCATGGATGCCACGACGTGCACTGACCGTTAACTACGAGCATGCTCCTTTCGAAGCCGTCGGGTGCGCCGTTCAGCTGAGTCACTACGAAGTCGTAATATCTCGTCGTTGGAGGCTCGCCGTGAATGCCACCAACAATGAAGTTTTCGGGGCCTGGAAGCATAACGGTGTCGCGGCGAGATAGTGCAGAAGAATCAGGGGACCGATACGGAGAAGCCTCCGCGCCGGGAATAAGGGAAAGGGCCACGTAGGCAAGAAATAGCGGAAGGCAGAGGATAGCATAACGCATACCCCGCGCGCGAAGATGGCGTCCCGCCTGCTGATCAGCGACCGTATATGCGCTTTGCCGCATGTCTGCTGCAGAGTTAGTGGATTGGTGTCCTGGGCATACAGCTTCGTCTTTCGTAGTATTTATGCGTTTGAGTTGGGAGTGCAATGCCTGGAGCGCAAACAGTTCAGCCGTTGGCATCGCCAGTGCAACCTGTCCCGGCCCTGACTGGAACCAGCATAGCCACTCCTTCAAGCTTCAGCAACCGCGTCGAGCGGAAGTGCTGATAATGCTAAAATTGGGCCGTGGTGCCTGAAGCTTGAAGACTCGAAGAACGCGCCCAAACCGCTAAACGAGTCTCATCTGTCCGCCCTAAATATTCAAATCATTTTTCGTAGCGAAGCGCCAGAGAAGTATGGCCCTTACGGAAGCAGCTGAACCAAGTAAGAACGCTGTTAACCGGCTACGCGCAACGTCTAGCCTATGTATGTGAGTTGGACATCCCACTTTAGTCTATTTGAGGGTCACTATACTGGTGAACGCAGCACCGCAGCTGGAGAGCGAGATATCTCGCATTCCTTCGTACGTTTCAGACGGTGCGGCGAGGCTGCTCGGAATACTATGATGGCACCCTCGTTTATTAGTGTTCCCTGCTTTATTAATTTGCTTTTGCTACTTCAATCTGCCTCCGGAGGTGCTGGGAATATTTTTTAAGATAGCTCTGTATTCATGCTATAATATGATACCCATATCATGACATATATAAGGTGAAAGACGGTATGGTATTTTTGTAGATGCTCAGAAGCAGTCTAAAACTGGCTGAAACATGCTACTGATGGCTAGATCCAACCAGATCTCGCTCACCAAATATTCTTGCGACTACATTTATGAACTTGTGCACTTGCACTGAGCCTGGTAGGCTAATATATTTTGTTTTAAAAGTGCTAGGTACATGCACAGAGAAGGAACAGTTGTGGAGCGTTACAATGAACGGGCAAGGTGTGATGAAATTGTCACTCCGCCTGATCTCAGACACGGCAGGCAACGAGGGG